CTCCTCCCCCCCCCCCAACCCCCCCCCCCCCCAAACAGTCCTCGCGACGCGCGCGAAGGACTGGAACAACGGCGCGAGCGCCTTCGCGGACGCCGCCGTCGCCGCGGGTTCCGTCTTCGCGTCGTTTTTCGTCGGCAGCGTCAAGTTTTACGCTGCCAAGACGAAAGAGGAGCGCACCGCGGGCGCCGCGCTGCTCGCCAAGGCGGCGGTGAACGGCTCCCCGGACGCGCACCACACGCTCGCGATCATGCACTTCAACGGCAGCGGCGGGCGGCGGAAGGATAAAGACCCGGAGGCTGGCGCGGCGTTGTGCGCTCGCGGGAACATCCTCTTCAACAGCGTCCCCGCCAAGCGCGAGCTCGGGCACTGCCTCCAAGACGGCTTCGGCGTCGAGCGAGACGTCGCGCTCGGGAAGAAGCTCCTCGTGGAGGCTGCCGCGGAGGACACGCAGACGCCGGCGATCGACATCGCGGTGAGCGCGGCGACCGCGGCGGCGGCGGCGGTGGAGGAACGGCTGCGCAAGCGCAACGACATCAACACGCTGCAAGAGGCGGTGACCGCCAGCCGCGAGGTTTCGAACGCCGCGCGCGCCGCCGCCAGGGAGCATCTCCACGCGACGCCGGAGAACCGCTTCCTGTTGGACTGGTTCAATCCGGACGTGTGCGGCGAGGTGTTACCCCCCGGCATGCACGCGTGCTCGCACCCGCTGTGCGGGCGGGTGGAGACGCGAAGACACGAGTTTCGACGGTGCTCGTGCTGCGGTCGCGTGCGGTACTGCTCGCGGAGCTGCCAGTCGCTGGACTGGCGGCTGCAGCACAAGTTCGCGTGCTTGCCGCTGTTGGAGCTGTACGGGTGGATGGAGTCGGACGCGGAGAGCGTGGACGGCGGGTCCGTCGGTCCGTCGCCGCCGGGGTCCCCGGGCGGCGCGGACTTTGGCGGGGCGTCGTCCGCGGCGGCGGCGGCGGAGGCGTGACGAGCGGCGGAACCGCGACGAGAGCGAAGCCGCACGGCGCGCGACGTACTAGCCACGCGCGCCGCGGCGTCTCTCGTGGACGCGCGCGTCGACAGACTCTAATAATCACGATTATCAAAGCGAAGCGCGAAGAAGCTTTCTTTTCTTAGCCTAGCCTCGCTTGTAAAACACGGGCTCACGCGAGAGGGTGGTAAAAACCTCAACTCCTCGCGTCTACTCGACCGCCGACGCCCTAAAACATGATCCCGCCCATCGTGACGTACATCATAATCATCATCAGCGCCCGCTTCCGGTGCTGCGGCGGCAGCGCCGGAACGAGCACGAGCACGTACCAGTACCTCGTCACGAGCGAAAACAGCGACGTCAGCGCGTTGAACGCCATGAGTAGAAACGGAATCGCGTAGAGAAGCGTCTGCGGCGAGACGTTCGCGAGGTTGAAGTTGAACCCGCCCGGCGATCCCGATCCCGCGGCCGCGCCCGCCGCCCCCCCCCGCGGCCGTCCACCGAACCCGCCCATCCCTCCCTGCGCTTGGAACTGCCGCAATATCTCCTCCAAGTTGATCCCGTGCATCCCCCCCATCCCCCCCGGTCCGAACGGGGCCCCCCCCGCGAACGGATTCCCCCCAGCCCCGCCGAACCCCCCCGCGCCGCGCTGCCCGTCCGCGGCGGCCTCGCCGTAGGCGTCGTACGTCGCCCTCTTATTCCGGTCGCTCAAGATGTCCCAAGCCTTGTTCACCTTCTTGAACGCGTCCTCCGCCCCCGGCGCGGTGTTCTTGTCCGGATGGAGCTTGAGCGCGAGCTTTCGGTACGCGCTCTTGATCTCCGACTCGGACGCCCCGCGCGCGACGCCGAAGAGCTCGTAGAAGTCCTTCACGCGCATGATTCGAGACACGAGCTCTCTTTGCTTCGGCGTCGCCGTCGATCGCCCCGCGTTCGGGTCGTGATCGCGGTTCGGGGTCGCGCGAGGCGACGAGGTGGACGCGCGCGACGAGCTGCTCGCGCGCGCGCCGGACGCGCGCACTCTCTTCGCGAGCCTCTGGAAGTCCACCTGCGATGCGAGCGCGGGGACGGACGGAGAGGGAGGAGGGCAGGGCGGACGGGGCGACGGTGAGCGGCGCGACGACGGCGCGGCGAGGACGACGACGGACGGACGGGGGCGGGGGGGAGGAGGACGCGCGTCCGTCGATCGATCGACCGCCGTCGCTCGCGCACCTTTTCCAGGCACCCCGTCGTGTCCGCGCCCGCGTCGCGCAGGTACTGCTTGAGCTGCCCGACGGACATCGCGTCCACGTCGACGCCCGACATGACGGCGACGGTCGGGCGCGTCTCTCGCCCTCGGCGCGTCGAACGGTGACCGCGGCGCGCGCGCGAGATCTCGCGAGGGAGGCGACGACGGGAAATGAAAGGTTTCTGTTCGTTCAGTTTTGTTCGTATTGACATTTACCCCCCCGCTCTGCGCCTCCATCACGCCGGCCCTCGCGAGCGCGCTTCTTCCTGCGCGCGTATCCCCCGCTCGATGCAATCCTCCACCGCCCTTCTCCCCCTCTCGACCTCGTCCCGCGTCCCCGTGATCTGCATGATCTGCGAGTGGTTGTCCAAGTGCAACGACGCGCCCGTGTCCGCCTCCATGCGTCGCACCGTCTCCCCGGCGCGTCCGATCAAGAATCCGGCTTGGCCTCGCACGGGAACCTCCGCGCTCGCATCCCGCGGCTCTCCGGACGCGTTGTTGGCGTTCGCGGGCTCGCCTCCGCGGTCGTCGGCGCCGCCGCCGCCGCCGCCGCGGCCCTCCGGCGCCGCCTCGATGGCGTCGAGAAGCATGCTCTTCCCTCGCGCCACGACGTCGGGTTCGCCGAAGAGACGCATGACGCCGCCGGCGCGGTCCCAGTTCATGTAGCACCCGGAGAGGCACTGAATCTTCTTGATGTTCGCGCCGACGTACCCCATGACCTTGCCGATGACGTCCATCGCGACCGGGACCTCCGCGGCGCACGGCGCGCCCTCGGGCGGCGCCGGCGGCATCGGCGGCAGCTCGGTGACGCGTAGCAACGACGCGATGTGTTCCTTGGCCATGCGAATCGCTCGACGCGTCCCTCTCAGGTTGAGGTAACTCAGCTCCTTCTTGGACTCGACCCTGCACCCGGTGTCTTCCTCGATGCGCTTCACGCGCGCGCCGCCTTTGCCGATGACGAGGCCGCGGCAGTCGATGGGGCAGTCGATGGTATCGTCGACGATCTCTTCGCGTTCGCCCGGTCTGCCGCCGCCGCTTCCCCTGCGGTCGCGGTCGTCCCACCCGCGGTCGCGGTCGCGGTCGCCGCCGCCGCGGCCGTAACGGTCATCGTAACGGTCGCGATCTCCGTAGCGATCTCGACCGTCGCGACCGCCGCCTCTATCGCCGCCGCCGCTTAATCGTTCCTGACGGTTCATCTCCCACTGGTTCACCGCCTTGCGAATCTCATCCGCGGCGGCGTCCACGCACCGCGACGGGCCCGTCACCGCCACCTTACGGTACCCGTTGTCCACCGCGCCGCGTTCGAGACGGTCGATGTTGACGAGCGCGCCGGTGCGATCTTGCAGCGCCTGGATCGCCTTCCCGCCCGCGCCGACGATCATCTTCGCGACCTCCGCGGGGACTTCCATGAAGAAGTCCTCCGAGCCGCGGTCGTCGCCGTTGTTTCCGCGATTCGGCGGCGGCCCGCGTTGCGGGGGCCCCGGCGGGTGGGCGCGGCGATCGTTTTCGCGCGGCGGCGGCGCGCGATCGTCGTAGCCGCGGTACCCGTCGCCGGCGGACGGCGGCGGCGGCCCGCGCGACGGCGGCGGCGGCCCGCGCGAGGAGTAGTACGGGTCAGTAGTACGAGAGTCGTACGCGTCGTAATAATCGCGCCCTCCACCTCCGCCTCCGGATCCGCCGCCGCGCGCGTCGCGTCTATCGTCGCGTCCGCGGTCGCGCGAGTCTCGATCGTCGTACCCGCGGCTCGGCGGCGGCGGCCCGCGGCCGTAGTCGCGCCCGCGATCGTCGCGGCGATCTCGCGAGTCGCGATCGTACGGGTGGTGCCGGTCGCGATCGCCCCCCGGCGGCGCGTACGCGTCGCGCCGGTCGCGGTCGTGCGGCGGATCGCGCGATCCGGGCGCGGCGTGACGATCGCGATCGGAGCTGTAGTAATCTCTCCTGTCGTAGGAATCCCTGCGGTCGTCGTCGCGGCCTCTGTAGCCGGACATGTCGACGTGTGCGGTGTCGCGCGCGCGGATCGAGTGCGTGCGGTGCGGTGTCGCGCGCGGCGTGGTGTGCGGAGCCCGCGGCGACGCGGCAACCCTCGACGCGACGTGTTAATTCGTTTGGGAATTCTGAACGCCGGAAATTTTTCGCGCGCCTGCGCGTGCGCCTTCTTCGGCGTTCGAGTTTCCGAGGCGAGGCCGGCCGCCCGTCTTCTCCGCGACCGGCCACAACGACCGGCGCGCGGCACGCGACGGCGCGCGTCCCTCCCTCCCATCGCCTCTCTAGGGATCATCCGGGCGTCATGCTCGACGCCGTGCGCATCTTCACCAAGGGCGGCGTCGTGCTCTTCGCCTGGGATCTGACGGGATCTGGGACCCTCGGCGGCGGTTCCGGCTCCGGCTCGGCGACGCGAGGCGCGGGCGCGGGCGCGGGCGATCCGATCGACGCGCTCGTGCGCGAGTGTCTCCTCGAGGAGAGAGGCGGCGCCGACGAGTTCGCGCACGCCGCGGGCGGCGCCTCGCTCACGATCAAGTGGACGACGCACAACGAGCTCGCGCTCGTGTTCGTCGCGGTGCACCAGCGCATCTTACGCCTGACGCACGTGGACGACCTCCTCGCGCGGACGAGAGACGCGTTCTGCGCGCCGGACGGGCCGTACCTCGGCGGCGGCGATGGAGGAGGAGGGGGAGGGCGGCCGGCGGACGTCCTGGGCCCGGGCCTGGGCGCGGCGGGGTACAACGACGCGTTCGTCGGGCCGTTCGAGGCGATAATGCGAGAGAGCGAGGCGGCGGCGGCGTCGCGGCGAGCGCCCAAGGCGGCGCCGAAGGCTTTCGACGCGGCGAAGAAGGCGGCGAAGCGAAACGACGCCTCCGGGAAAGCCGCCACGAGCGCGAGCGCGAGGGACGCCGACGGCGACTCCGACGGGGCCCGGAGCGAGCGTGAGCGTCAGCCCGCGACGTCGTCGACGAGCGCGGGGAAGAAGGACGAAGACGACGTCCCAAACGGCGCGTTCGACATGTCGAAGATCCAGGGCAAGCTCAAGTCGAAAAAGGGCGGGGGGTCGCAGCCGGGGAGCAGCGGGAACCTCTCGGGGGCGACGGGGGGAGACGACGGCGACGGCGGCGGCGGCGGCGGGAAGAAGAACGCGAAACGACCGAAAGAGAAGCGCGTGTGGGCGGATACGAAGGGCAAGGCGAAGGACCTCGACTTTTCCGCGCGCGGCGACGGCGCGGACGGCGGGGACGCGCCGACGGAGGGTCCCGACGTGCAGCGCGTGGACATCTCCGCGCCATCAAGGGTGGACGCGGACGATGACGACGACGCGTTATCGTCCGAGGACGACGACGAGGACGACGAGGAGGAGGCGCGCTCTCTTGCGGCGGCGATGAATGCGTCGACGTCGAGACCCGCGGATGAGAAGAAGAAGACGAAGAAGAACGGCGGCGGGTGGCTCTCCGGCGTGTTGAACGCTTCGCCCATGCTCCGCGGCGTCGTCGGGAAGAGCGCGCTCGAGGAAGAAGACCTCGCGCCCGTGCTCGAGACGCTGAAGACGAACTTCATGAACAAGAACGTCGCGGAGGAGATCGCGGAGCGGCTGTGCGAATCCGTCGCCGCGTCGCTGAGGGGTCGAAAGCTCGCGTCGTTTTCGTCGCTGAGCGCGATGGTCAAACGCGCGATGGAGGACGCGCTGACGCGCATCCTCACCCCGACGCGCTCCGTGGACGTCCTGCGGGAGGTCAAGACCGCGAAAGCGTCGGGGCGGCCGTACGTGATCACCTTCGTCGGCGTCAACGGCGTCGGAAAGTCCACGAACCTCTCCAAGGTTGCGTACTGGCTCTTGCAACACGACGTCCGCGTCATGATCGCCGCGTGCGACACCTTCCGCGCGGGCGCCGTGGAGCAGCTCCGGACGCACTGCAAACGACTCGGCGTCCCGCTGTTCGAGCGCGGGTACGAGAAAGATCCCGCGTCCGTCGCGTCCGAGGCGGTGAAGGCGGCGCGGCGGACGGGCGCGGAAGTCGTTCTCGTGGACACCGCGGGTCGGATGCAAGACAACGAGCCTCTGATGCGCGCGCTCGCGAAGCTCATCAACGTCAACGAGCCGGACCTCGTGTTGTTCGTCGGCGAGGCGCTCGTGGGGAACGACGCCGTGGATCAGCTCTCGAAGTTTAACGAGCGCCTCAGCGATCTCGCGACGGACGCGAAGAAGAGGAGGGTGATCGACGGCGTCGTGTTGAGCAAATTCGACACCATCGACGATAAAGTAGGCGCGGCGCTGTCGATGGTGTACACGAGCGGCGCGCCCGTGATGTTCGTCGGGTGCGGGCAGACGTACACGGACTTGAAGCGTCTGAACGTGCGGAGCGTCGTGAAGTCGTTGCTGAGCAAGTGACTGAAGAAGCGAGGAGATGGAAGAGAAGGATGGAGTAGAACTACGTCGGCTAACTTTCTTTACCGAGGGGACGAAAAAATACCGCCCGCTATGCTACCCTCCGCCGTCTGTCGTCCGCGCCCGCGGCTTCGCGGCCTCGTCGCTCACCCCCGCCCTCCCCGGGTCCATCCCGCTCTCGCGCATCAAGTCGATCGCGCTCGCCGTCGACTTATCCCTCACCGTGACGTCCGCGCCCGCCTCCACGAGCATCCTCGCCGCGTCCTCGTGCCCCGCCACGCACGCCACGTGCAACGGCGTCCATCCGTGCTTGGCGTCGACGCGTTGAATCTCCGCGCCCGCGTCCAACAGCGCTCGCATCGCGCCGAGGTGCGCGTTCCTCGTCGCGAGGTGCAGCGGCGTCCAGTCGCCCTTGTCTCGCGCGTTCACGTCCGCGCCGCGGTCGATCAGCGACGCGACGACGTCGCGATCGCCGCTGTAGTACGCCGCCTTGTGGAGCGGCGTGCGCAGGTACGCGTTCGTCTGCGTCACGCTCTCGCCGCGGTGCAGCGTCTCGGTCACGAGGTTTCGGTCGTCGTCGCGCACGGCGTCCATGAGCGTCCGCGAGCGCGGTTTCGGGTTTAAGACGACCTCGCCGGTGAAGAGGCCCATGACGGTCGGCGCGGTCGATCCCGTCACCGAGCTGCCGAGGGGAGGGGAGGCTCGGCGCGCGAGACGTGTGATCGATCTGATGGCGCTCTCTTCTTCTCGTTGACGCGAACATTTTCCGTCGAAGCGAGTTTTGGCACGGCGGCTGAATCCGCAGCATGTCGTGTCCGGCTCGGACGGGGGAAGGTTCGTCCGCGACGACGAGGACGACGAAGACGGCGACGATCCGAGGTAATCGTAAAGTTCACACGTTACACATCATAAAGTACCGACCGCCGGCGCGCGAGGGGCGACGACGGGGACGCGACCGTTTCTCCGACGCATCACGTCGCGCGAGTTGACGACACTCGTCGACGTCATGTCATCAGTCCTCCTTCGGCGGCGGCGGCGCCGGCGCGGGCGCCGCCGCCGCGGCCGCCTTCGCGCGCGCCGCCTTCAGGACCTCTTCTCGCGCCATCTTCCTCGCCTCCATGTCGTCTACGGCCGTGGGCGAGGGAAGCGCGAGCGCGGAATGACCCGAGGCGACGAACAGCGGCAGCGCGGCCGCCGCGGCGGAAACCATCGCGCGTCGCGTCGTCGCGCGGTGCATCATTTTGTCGCCGTGGCATCCGCACGGGCAGACCGCCGCGCCGCCGCGCGAGTCGTGCGTGCGCGCGCACGCGCACGACGCGCAGGGGCCCGCGTGGACGACGCCACAGGTACCGCACGCGGCGTGCCCGGTTTGTTTAAACGCCGCTCGGCATTTTACCGCGGACCTGCGGGGGAGGACGAGGAGGATCGTGCGCGGTCGATGAGGGATGTATTTCTTCGCTTTATCCGAGGGGATGTGGGTGGGTGAAAACCTCGCCGAGCGGGCGACTCGGCGGCGGCGACGTTTTCGCGCACCCTCGCGCGGCGAACGTCGCGGCGGCGGTGATTGGCAGGCACAGGGAGCCGGTGAGCACGCTCTGCATTCTGAGCGGTCGAGCGTCGCGAGGCGCGCGCGCGCGTTCGAATGAGCATTGCCGACACACGCCCAGTTCTTTCCACGTCAGCTTGAGAACCCTAAGGTAGTCTACTAGCTAGTACCCTAAAGGTGGTTTTGGTTTCATCAGCCGGCGCGCCGCCCGAACAACTTTTCGTGGCTGCGCTGCGCTGCGGATGCGGAGGCTGGGAGGCGCTCGACGCCTTCTCGGCATTCACCGGCGCGCGACGACGACGACGACGACGACGACGACGGAACACCACGCCGCAGACGCGATGACAACCGACGCCAAGACGGTCCCGCGCCGCGCCGAGCTCCGTAAGGTCAAGTTCGGGAACACGGACATGATGGTCACGGAGGTGTGCGGCGGGACGATGACGTGGGGATCGTTCAACGACGAGGAAGAGGACGCGCACGCGCAGCTCGACAAACTGTGGGAGCTCGGCGTGAACTTCTTGGACACCGCGGAGCTGTACCCGGTCGGGTGGAACTACGGCGCGCTCACGGAGAAGTGGATGGGGAACTGGCTCGGTGCGTCTTCTTCAGCGCGGACGCGCGCGTCGTCTCCGGCGGCGGCGGCGGCGTTCGTTCCGAATTTCTTTCGTCCGTCTTCCGAAACGACGCGACGGACACGTCATCACCCCTTTCGCTCACCTTCTCCGTCCTCCTCCCCTCCCCACTCCTCCTCCTCCCTCAGAGAAACGCGTCGCGGACGGCACCGTGGACCGAAGCAAGCTGTACATCGCGACCAAGGTCAACCCGTCGACCGTCGGCGCGGAGCACCCGACGCGCAGCGGCGCGCACGGGTACGACGAAGAGATCGTCCTCTGGTCGTGCCAGAAATCCATCGAACGCCTCAAGTGCGTTCTATACAGTGGTCCCCATACGACCGCGTCGGCGTGGTGAACGCCGATCCTTAAGGACTTTTCCCGTCGCATCTCTCCGCCCAGGGTCCCTCGCTTTCAAACCCCGCCCGCGTTGCCTTTCAACTCCCAAGTCTGACGCCTTTCAACTCCACCCCGACGTCGCTTTGTATGGACCCTCGACCCTCAGGTGCGGCTACGTCGACCTCTACCAGATCCACTGGCCGTCGCGCGATTGCCCGCTGATGTCCACGCCCACGTTCGCGCCGGACGGGAAGAACCGCATGATGCCGTTCTTCGACCGCGGCACTCAGGAAGACTTCGACAGGACCGTGCGCTCGATCAAGACGCTCTTCGAGCGAGGCCTGATCAAGCACTGGGGCGTGTCCAACGAAAACGCGTACGGCATCACGATGCTATGCAACGCGTGCGTCAAGCTGGACTGCCCGCTGCCGGTGTCGTGCCAGAACGACTTCTCGCTTCTCAACCAGACGTACGAGTGCGACACGTACGAGGCGGCGTACCGCTTCGGCGTCGTCGGCCTCCCCTACGGCGCGCTCGCCGGCGGGACGCTCACGGGGAAGTACTTTGAAAAGACCAAACCGGAATACGCCGCCAAGGATGCGACGGAGCGCCCGCTCGAGAAGTGCCGCCATCGCGTCATGGCGGACTTCCAGCCGAGGTACGGCAGCAAGGCTGCGATGGCGGCGACGCGCGAGATCGTGGACATCGCAGAGGCGTGGGGCGTGACGCCGACGGAGCTGTCGTTGGCGTGGGCGATCGGTCGGCCGTGCAACGCGAGCGTCATAATCGGGACGACGACGACGCGGCAGGTGGAGGTGAGACTGCTTCCCATACGACCCCGTTCGCGTGGTGCACGCCGTTCCTTAAGGACTTTTCCCGTCGTCACTCTTCACCCGCGCTTCCCTTTCAACGCCTGACCGGTAAGACGTTCGACTGACCGATCGCTTCACCCACGCCAGGAGTGCGTCGGCGCGGCGCTGTTGGACTTACCGGACGCGCTCGTGAAGGAGCTCGACGCCGTGCACGAGAAGTATCGGAACCCGTGCATGTACTACGCGGACAAGGAGGTGTGGAACGCGCACGGCGGCGCGGGGAGGGCCGCCGCGGTGCCGGAGGGCGCCGCGGTGCCGGAGGAGTGATGGATGTTTAAGGTGATGCGTTTATTTTTTTACGAGTCTGGCTTCTTCGCGCCTTTTGCCGCGGGCGACTCTCGCGGACGACTCGCTCGCTCGCGTCCTCCTCCGCGTCGCGCGCCTCGTCCTCGCCCGCGCTCCCAACGCGCTCGTCGCCGGCCGCTCACTCGTCGTCGTCGTCGTTCAACCCGGAGAGGTCCACCTCGCCGCCGCCGATCGCCGTCAGCTCGCTCGCGAGCCTCTCGTGCAGCGCGTGCCCGTCCCTGGCGTAGATCCACGCGCGTCGCTCGTCGTCGTAGTCGTATCGCGTCGGCCCGCTGACCGGCGACGACATCCATATCTGCCGGTTCGGCGCTTGCTTGTTCAGGACGTACGTCCCGTGGCCGCCGCCGAGCGCGATCGTCACGACGCCGCTCTCGGCGTTGAGGTCAAAGTCCGGGAGCGTCGCGCGGTCCTCGCCCCATCGGTCCACGACCGTCTCGACGCGACGAAGCGCCGCGTCAGCGGCGGCTTGGAACGTCAGGTCGTCGCACGGGCGGCGCGAGGACGACGACGTGCGCAGCGATCGTGACAGCGCTGGGGAGGACGACGACGACGACGCCGCGGCGGCGGCGGCGGCGGCGGCGTCGCGCGTCGGCCCCGGGGGCGTCGTCCAGCGCGAGAGATGGGGACGGGCGGGCGCGACGCGATCGATCGTCGTCGTCGTCGTCGTCGTCGTCGTCGTCGCGCGGAGGGCGCTCCTCGCGCCTTCCGCCGACGCGACCGCGCGCCCGCCCGCTGATCGCGTCGACGACGCGATCCCTCGCGCGAGCGCGGTCAGCAGCGCCGCCGCGCGCGTCGCGCGTCCTCGCGCGCCCGTCGTCGCCATCGCGAATGATGAGACCGTCCCGTCGTCGCTCGCTGCTGACGTGTTCGCGTTCTCGTGACGAAGTTTGTCACTGGCGTGTCATCGCGTCACTCCGCGCGGACGCACGCCACACGCCGCGCACCGCACCGCACCATGGCCGCCGCGCTCCTCTCCAGCCGCGCGGTCGTGTCCGTGTCCGTCCGCGCGCGCCTCGTCCGCGCGCGCGTCGCATCGCGCCACCGCGCGCGCGCGACCGCGGCCTACGCCGGAAGAGCGAAGAGGATAACCGTGCACGATGCGAACGACCTTCTCGCGTCCGACGCGTCCGTCGTCTACCTCGACGTGCGAAGCGAGGGGGAGTATAAGGACCAGCACAGGGTCGGGAGCGTGAACATCCCGGTCGCGGACATGCAAGGCGGCGCCCCGGTGCCGAACCCGAAGTTTGTGGAGAGCGTCAACGCGGCGTATCCGGGGAAGACGCAGCGATTCGTCGTCGGGTGCGCGGCGCGCGCGCGCTCGCTCTTCTCTTCTCTTCGCCGCGCCGCCGCCGCCGTCGCCGTCGGCGCCGCGACCTCGAGAAGTTCCACGTCATCGAATCTATTAGAATCTACGACACCATACTGACCAATCACGTACCTCCACGTCCTCCAATCCTCCAGGTGTCTCTCCGGCGCGAGGTCGGAGAAGGCGGTCGCGTTGTTGACCGCGGACGGGTGGCCCGGGGAGAACCTCCTCGACTTGGAGGGCGGGTTCAGGAAGTACAACAAGGAGTTCACCCCGGAAGGGAAGCCGAGGGCGAAGCCCGGGGTGTGGAAGGATTCCGGGCCGATCACGTGGACGGACAGCTGAGCGGCGGTCGGAGCGCGGCGCGGCGAACGGACGCGACGATCACCGATCGACGACAGGAGTTCACCCACCGCGTCGAGAGTAGTCGCGACGAAGAAACCAATCGATCGGTTCAATCGACGTCGAAGAAACGCACGCGTCGCGTCACACCGGCGTCATCGGTTGAATCTCGTACCCGTCCTCCGTCGTCACGGGCTCGATCTCCCCCCCGTCGAGGCGCCGGCCTCCCCGCACCGCCGCGGGCGGCGGCGCCGTCGGCGTCAGCGGCGGCACGAGCGTCTCCCCGCCGTCGCCGTCGACGTCGACGTCGCCGAGCTCGATCCACGCCCCGGCCCGCGTCCGCGTCCGCGGGGGTTTCAGCTTCGCCGAGCGAATCAGCTTCCCGACTCTTCCCTCCTCTCCGGACCCGCCGGACCCGCGCGCGGGGACCTCCATCCGCGCCTTTCGATACTTCAGTACGCCCGCGGTGACCGCCATCGCGCCGAACGCGATCGCGAACACGATGACCTCGATCGGCGCGTTCAACACCGCCTCCTCTTCGGGCCGTTCCGTGTGTACGAAGCGACGTCGGGGTGGAGTTGAAAGGCGTCAGTTGAATTTGAAAGGCATCGAGGTCGGGGATTGAAACCGTGGCGTGGACGGAGAGACGCGCCGGGCAAAGTCTTTAAGGAATCGCGTTCACAACGCGAACGCGGCCGTATGGGGACCAGTGTCCGGGAGAGAAAGTCCGTCCTTAAGAAACGGCGTTCACCACGCCGACGCGGTCGCGTGGGAACCAGCGTGGAAATAGAACGCGCCTTTCTCGTCCGGGACGAGCATAGACGGGACGAACAACGCCGCGGCGAGCGCCTCGGATAACGCCGCGTCCGTCGCCGGCGGCGGCGCGCCGTCCGCGAGCATAGAACCGGGCGCCGTTCGCATCCCCATCGCCCGCATCACGATGTCGTGCACGTCGACGTTATCGAACGCGTAGGTTCTCTTCTCCCAACGAGACGCGTCCGCGGCGTCGAACGTCGACGCGTCCGCGTCCGCGGCGTCCGGGAGGGCCCAGCTCGGCGGCGCCGCGGCGTTCTCGCCGCCGTCTCCTCCGAACACGAGCCTCACGCCGTCGCTTCGGAACGCGGGACCTCTCGCCATGAACAGCGCGCGCATCTCTCGCGCGGCGTTGTCGTATCCGTGCGCGCCGCACTCGTCCACGCCGCTGTCGACCCCGCACTGAGGGCCGTTCCATACAAAGCGACGTCGGGGTAGAGTTCATAGGCGTCAGTTGGAGTTGAAAGGCGTCGAGGTCGGGGATTGAAAGCGAGGGGTGCGCGGAGAGAAACGCCAGGAAAAGTCCTTAAGAAACGGCGTTCACCACGCGAACGCGGTCGTATGGGAACCAGTGTGAGATAGAACGCGCCTGCGTCTCTCGACACGCGCCGTGCGTCGCCGCCCAGTTCAACGGATCGCTCGCGTTTCGCCCCCCCCCCCCCGGTCCGTCCCCCTCTCCCGCCCAGCTCTCGTACCCGCAGAGCGTCCACCCGACGTCCGCGGCGATGATAACGGGCGCGATGCGGACGTTTTCTTTATACTTGTACCGGTCCGGGACGTCGTCCTTCGCGTACGCCTTGACGTTGGGATGACACGCGTCCACGCGCGCGACGATCGCCGCCGGGTCGAATCCGCCCGCCGCGGCTTCCGCGTCCGCGGTCGGCTCGCCCGTCTCCGCGTCTCGACCCCACACCCCCATGACGACGTTCCCGCCGCTGATCGCGACGTTCGAGAAGTCGAGCCCGCACGGGTCGTCTCCCAGGTACACGATCCTCTCGCGCGAGATGGTCGCCATGCCGTGATCGCTCACGACGATCACGTTGGTGCGATCCCACGCGTCGTCGCCGACGGCGCTCGCGAGGCGCCCCAGCACTTCGTCCAGGCGCCGCACCGCGGCGGCGACCTCTGGGCTGTCCGGGCCGTGGAGGTGCCCGGTCGCGTCCGGCTCTTCCAGGTACAGCGCGTGGAACCCGGGTTTCGGACCGCCGCCGCCGCCGCCGTCGCCGTCCGGATCATCGTCCCCGTGAGGGCCGTTCTATACAAGCGAATGTCGGGGTGGAGTTGAAAGGCGTCAGTTGAAGTTGAAAGGCATCGAAGGCGGGGATTGAAAGCGAGGGGTGGGCGGAGAGAGACCCCGGGAAAAGTCCTTAAGGATCGGCGTCCACCACGCGAACGCGGTCGTATGGGAACTAGTGTATAGAACGCACCTGATGATGAAACGCCGCCGCGTGCGCGTCTCGGAGCCACCTCGCGACGTCGTCGACTCTCTCCTCGAACGGCACCACGCCGTGCTCGAACCTCTTCCACACGTCCGGCCGCCGTCCTCGGATCTCCGCCTCGCTCCCCGGCCAGTAGTACACCTTCGACGCGCGCGCGTCCCTCGACGCGGTCACCCACAGCGGCTCCGCGGCGTCCCACCAGTACGACGCGGTGGCGTCCATTGTGAACCAACTCTGGGTGTACGGATCCCAGAAGCGGTTCGCGACGATCCCGTGCGCGCGCTCGTGCGTCCCCGTGACGATGGAGTAGTGGTTCGGGAACGTCTTGGACACGAACCGCGGCGTGAGCGCGGCGCGGACGCCGCCGCGCCAGAAGGACGTCAGATGAGGGAGCGCGGCCGCGGGCTGCGCGTCGAGGTACGACGCTCGGAATCCGTCGAGGGAGATCAGGAGGACGGGGGCGACGCCGTTCGTCTCTGAGCCGTGCGCCGCGGTCGGGGGCGGCGCGATCGCGAAGACGACGACGACGAGCGCGAGCGTCGCGGTGGACGCGACGGAGCGCGGCATAGCGTGGCGTCCGCCCCCGTGCCGCGCCATGCCGAATGGACTCTGATGATATTTTCTTCGGGTCTTCCAGTCGGAGTTTCGGAAGAAGTCCGTCAGATCGTCCGAGAGGGGCTTATCTTCCGCGGCGCCGCGGCGACGGGACGCGCGCGGCGAGGTCGGGATGACGTCCGCGGCGGCGACGTCCATCGCGGGCGCGTCCGCGGCGCCATCCTCGCATCGCGCGCGGCGCGGCGGCGACGCGAGAAACCCGCGACGGACGCCGCATCCGCGTCTCGTCCGGTGGACCGCGCGAACCGCTCCCATCGACGACGACGGCGACGACGACGCGTCCGCCCTCGCGCCCCCTCGCGCGTCGTCCCCGTCCCCGTCCCCGTCGCCGTCCTCCTGGGACGCGGAGGAGACGCACGCGCGCGGCACGGGCGAGGACTACCTCTACGAGCTCGGACGCCAGTCCTCCAACTTGCGCACAGAGGTGGGCGCGCGGAAGGGCGTCGTCGACGACGTCTTCGCGGGGACCGCGAACGCGAACTTCGTCCTCGGCGCGGACGCGGACATCGCGACCGGCGAGCTGCGATACACGGAAGCGCGCTCGCTGACGAACGTCGTGGACGGGTGCTACGTCCCGCCGCGGTTCATGGACAAAGTCTGCGTGCACCTGGTGAAGAACCACCTCGCGGAGTCCGCCGCGCGCGCGACGGCGGACGACGCCGCCGCCGCCGCCGGCGCGGGCGTCGTGAAGAGAGGCGTGGGACAGGTTCCTCTCATCTTGGGAATATGGGGCGAGAAAGGCTGCGGGAAGAGCTACACCCTGGAGCTGTGCCTGCGCGCGATGCGCGCGAGCCCGATCATCGTGTCCGCGGGCGAGCTCGAGGACGAGTGGGCGGGCGCGCCCGGGCGACGCATCCGCGAGAGGTACCGCGCGGCGTCGCGTCTCATGTCTCAGGCGCGTTCTATTTCCACACTGGTCCCCATACGATCGCGTTCGCGTTGTGAACGCCGATCCTGAAGGACTTTCTCTCTCGGCGTCTCTCTCCGCCCGCCCATCCATCGCTTTCAATCCCGACGCGCCTCGACGCCTTTCGACTCCGCCTGACGCGCCCCTCGACTCCACCCCGACATTCGTCGCTTCGTACGATGGAACGGCCCTCAGACCGGCCGGCTCGCGTGCCTGGTCATCAACGACCTCGACGCCGGCGCGGGGACGTACAGGGCGACGCAGAAGACGGTGAACATGCAGATGGTGATGGGAACGTTGATGAACCTGTGCGACCACCCCACGAGCGTGAGCGTGGGCGCGGAGGAGTGGAGGGAGGACAGAGAATTGCGCCGAGTGCCTATCATAATCACGGGCAATGATCTCAGCACGTTGTACGCGCCGCTCCTGCGCGACGGGCGCATGGACAAGTTCATGTGGGCGCCGTCGATCGACGAGCGCGCGGCCGCGGTCCACGCGGTCATGGCGGACGCGGGCGTGACGGCGCGCGACGCCCTGGAGCTCGTGCGCGCGTTTTCGAATCAGGCGCGTTCTGTTACCGCACTGGTCCCCACGCGACCCCGTCGGCGTGGTGAACGCCGTTCCTCGAGGACTTCACTTCCCGGCGTATCTCTCCTCCCACCACCCCTCGCTTTCAATCCCGAGACACCGCGACGCCTTTCAACTCCACCCCTGACGCCTTTCAACTCCACCCCGACGTCGCTTCGTATGGGCAAACACCCGCGACCCTCAGCCGTTGGATTTCTTCGGCGCGTTGCACGCGCGCACCGTCGACGCGGCGGTCCTCGAGTGGATCGCGCGGAACGGCGGCGCGCGCGGAATGGGCGACGCGCTGCTGCGCGGCGACGCGAGGACGCGGAAGGCGTCAGAGGAGAGCGGGATGCTCGCGGACGGGGACGAGGACGGGCTCGGCGCGACGACGCGAGACGACGTCGACGGCGGCCGTCGCGGCGGAGGGCGGTGGGAACGCGGCAGACCGTCCGTCGATCGCTCCTCGTCGCGCCTGACGCTCGAGGCGCTCCTCGAGATCGGCCGCGAGCTCGAGCGCGAGCAGCAGCGCGTGCTGGACGTCAGGCTCGTGGACGAGTACATGAAGGGCGTGAAGGAGGACGGCGTCCGAGAGAGCGATGAGCGCGACTCCGACGTCGCCGCGCGGAGTCAGGTGCGTTCTATACACTGGTTCCCATACGACCGCGTCGGCGTGGTGAACGCCGATCCTTAAGGACTTTTGCCGTCGTCTCTCTCCGCCCACCCCTCGCTTTCAATACCCGTCCTCGACGCCTTTCAACTCCAACTGACGCCTTTCAACTCCACCCCGACTTTCGCTTGTATAGAGGGACGCGGCGAAGCGCGTCGCGGACGCGGAGGCTGCCGCGCGCGCGCAGCGCTCCGAGGCGCAGTCGAGGTTGAACGCGGCGGCGGCCGCCGCGAGCGCGAGCGCGGACGCGGCGGCGCCGAGGGAGAAGATCGAGCTGGTGTCCCCGGCGGAGCGGGCGCGGCGCGCCAACGAGAGGATTCGCGAGAACACGAAGCGAGGCGGCGACGGAAACGGCGGCGGAAACGGCGGCGGGTGGACGATCCTCGACGGCGGCGTCGGCGCGGAGAGGAGCGTGCTCGAGAAGGACGAGTGGAGCAAGTTCGACGAGATCGACTGGGGGGATTGATCGATCGGATCGCGCGCGGTCGACGCGCGGGAGCGGAGGCGCGGGGCGCGGCGCGAGATACCCGTACGTAGGATAAAAAATGAAACGTTTTTCTGAGCGAGCGTTTCTGAAATCACCGCGCGCTCGCCCGCGGAAGGGGGTCAACGACAGGACGAGGGGAACCAAACTCGGATGTGTTTCGAGATTCCCGTCGCCTCGGCGGGGCGTCGCGCCGCCCCGCGTCCCTCGCGTCGTCACACCGCGTCGCGCTGCCCACGCCCGAGGGCGCCGCGCGTCGCGCACGATGATGGGCCGGCAAGTCCTTCACATCGACGACGCGGACGGGAACCAGTTGCACCGCAAGAGGGCGGTGCCGGAATCGCCCCGTCCCGAGTCCGCGTCGTGGAACTTTCTCGCGGGCGCGCGAGGGACGCCGTCCGCGCCGTCGCCGACGCGACAGCTCGTGGACCCGAACGCGCCGCCGCCGTCGAGACCGAAGCCGTTCAAGCCCGGATGGCGATCGAAGAGGCACGAGCCCGCGATAGACCCCGCGGCGGAGCGGCGCGAGCTCGAGCAGCGGCGCGCGGAGCGCGGCGAGGTCCGCGCGGGGATCCGATGCGATTACCTCGTCCACAACGACACCAAGTGCGGCGTGGACCCGATCACCGGGTACGTCCGCGATCGACTGAAAGCGGTCATCACGGACTACCCGCCGCGGGGTGGCCCGCGGAGCCTCCCGATGCGCCCGCCGGAGACGGTGGAGAAGGAGCGGACGCGCGGGAACGTGCACTGGACGTACAAACATCCCGACGAGGCGCGCGCGGCGCAGAAGCAGGCGCGTCCCATCTCACACTGGTTCCCATACGACCGCGTTCGCGTGGTGAACGCCGATCCTTAAGGACTTTACTTCCCGGCGCATCTCTCCGCCCAGGGTCCCTCGCTTTCAATCCCCGCCCGCGATGCCTTTCAACTCCGCTTCTGACGCCTTTCAACTCCACCCCGATATCATCGCTCGCACGGAACGACCCGCAGATGCGAAAGGATTTCATCATGGACGAGGGCAAGCCCGGGCGGCACGACGAGCGGCCAAGGGCGAGGGACAACTTCGACCCGCGGCCGCCGTTCGGCGGCGACCCGAAGATGGTCCGCGCGCTCGCGGACGACATCTTCATGGACGGCAAGATGCAGCTCCACGCGGGCGCGGACACCGAGAGCGGCTTGGGGCCCGGCTTGGTGCCCACCTCCGAGGCGAGCCGCGGCGGCGACGACATCTTCGCGGAGGGGCGCGCGCGCGAGCACAGCGAGAAGGACACGCACAGCTGGCTGGAGATGACGGAGAGCGGCGTCGTGCCGGGGGAGGGCGCGCCGGTGCAGAGGCCGTCGCACGTGCGAACATACCACGGGCCGCCGATGGACGCGGAGAGAGCGGGGCTGGTGAAGCGAGCGGAGGAGGACGACTTGGACCCGCGGCATCGGTACTGGTAGGCGGACGCGGACGCGGACGCGACCGCGGCGATAGCTTAGCTCTGATGATAATATCCTTATAATACCCTTACGAAGATTTAGCGCCCGCTCGCTCACGAGCTCGGCTCCACGGAACAGAAGATCGGCAGCGGCCCTCGGCAGTTGAGGTCCTCCCCCGGGGCTCTCGTCCCGCCCGGAAGCTCGATCGCGCCGTTTTCGTCCCCCGCGCCCGCGCCCGCGCCCGCTCTCTCCTTATTAAGGTTATCCTCCGCGCCAACCTTGAACGACTTCGCGGCGCGCCTGAACCCGCTCTCCGCGCGACTCCACGCCTCCGCCCCGCCGGCGGTGGCGCCGAGCAGGTAGACGTTCCCGAGCTCCACCGCCGCGGTGAGCAGCACGCGCCCCTCGCCGTACTCGAAGTCGTACGTGTAATACCCCTTCTCGACGCCCGATGGCGACGTCTCGATCCTCGCGCTCGCGTCCAACAACTTCGCCCCCGGGGGAATAAACAGCGGCGCCGCCTCGCGCGCCTCCCCAAACTCCCTCACGTCCTTGATCTGCAAGAACGTCAGCTTGAGCGTGTTCGCGCCGCGGACGGAGACGCTGACGTCCTCGCCGCCGTCGTCGCTTCCGAACCGCGCCACGAGCGGCGTCTCATCCGTGCGCTTCGCTTGGAGGTCTCGGCAGTTGGGTTCGCAGTCCGCGATGCGCTGCTCGTATATCCGCCGCGGTTTCTCCGTGGCTTTCCTCGCGTACGCGCCGGGGACGACGACGGACCAGTTATCGCCCTTGTATCGCACCGGGGGCGCGGCGGACGACGCGGCGGGTCGTTTTGGGGGGTCGGCGTCCGCGGGCGCGATCGGGTCTTCTTCGATCGAGGTCGACGCGTCCGCCGCGAACGCGTCGTCGTCCGCGCGCGCGGGGAACGCGCGCGTCGTCGTCGCGAGCGCGAGCGTGATCGCGGAGACGAGCGCCTCGCGGCGCGACGACGACGGCGGCGACGGCGCGGCGTCGGCGTCGGCGTCGCGCGCGGACGCGCGGACGACGCGATGACGGTGGCGTCGCGTCGCCGCGGCGATCGAGGGCGGACGATCGCGAGGACGCGCGGAGGCGGAGGAGGACGCGCGGACGCGCGCGGCGGGCGCGGCGGGCGCGATCGCGGCGCGCATGACGACGCCCCGGCGACTTCGACGCGGACGCGATCGGAGAGCGTCGACGGCGGCGCGTCCGAGGGAGTGTCGAAGCGCGCGACGCGAGGCGAGGATAACAGTCTGTTGAGGGTTAGGGTCGAACGTTCGCGTTCGACGACGGGAAGTCTGAGATCTGAGCGGGCGACGCGACGCCGCGATAACTCGCGGCGCGTCGGCACGACGCGCGCACTCGCTCCGCTATTTCCGCGCACGTCATGGCGGAGATGGACCAGAAGACCGCGGACCTCCTCGCGGGGGCCGTGAAGGATTTCGAGTCGAAGTCCACCCCCGGCGGCGACGGGTGCGTTCGGCACCGCGAATCGAATCGCGCGCTCTCCTCCTCCTCCTCCTCCTCCTCCTCCTCCATCCTCGCGCGGCGCGCGCGGCGGCGCGCGGCGACCGACGATCGTCCGTCCGTCCGTCCGTCCGTCCGTCGTTCCCTCCGTCGTTCCCTCTGACAAACGACAGCCTCCTCCTCGCCGTCGTCATCGCAGCGCGAAGAAGAAGCCGAAAGCGCCCAAGCCCGCGCCGCCCGCCGCGAAAGGTCTCGGGGGGATGGGCCTCCCGCAGAAGAAAGAGAAAGCCCCGGAGGGTCTCGGCGGTCTCGGGCTGAACGTCAAGGACACGAAGAAGAAGGACACGAAGAAGAAGAAGCCTCCGCCGGCGGCCCAATCGCCGAACCCGTTCGACCCGTTCGGGATCATGGGCGGCGCGGGGCAGGGGCAGCAGGGGGCGCCGTACGGACTCGGCGGCGGATGGGGGGGCGGGGGCGGGAACGGCGACGATCCGATGGCCGCGTTCGACGCCGCGTCCGGCGCGAGCGGCGGCGGGTTCGGCGGCGGCGCGGACCCCATGGCGGCGTACATGGAGCAGATGCAGAAGATGTGGGGCGGCGCCGCGGGCGCGGGAGGCGCCGCGGGCGCGGGAGGCGCGGGTGGCGCGGGCGACGGCGGCGGCGCGAACACCGCCAACGCGTCGTTGAACGATACCATCGCCGCTCTGAACGGGCTTTTCTCCAACCCCGCGAGCGGCGCGAGCGAGGAGGACGCCGCGGCCGGGAAACAAGCCGCGGATCAGATCGCGGATCTCGAGAAGATGATGACGGCGATGTTCCAAGGCGCGAACGAGGACGGCGACGGGAAGAACCCGATGCAGTCGATAATGGATAACATGCTGCAGCACCTACTGAGCAAGGACGTCTTGTACGAGCCGATGAAGGAGATCGCGGCGAAGTACCCGCCGTGGATAAAAAAGAACAAGAAGAACCTTCCGGACGAGGAGGTGATTCGGTACGAAGCGCAGCTCGTGAAGGTGCGCGCGATCGTGACCGCCTTTGAAGACGAAAACACCGACTTCGCCAAAGTCGTGACGCTCTTGCAAGAGATGCAGTCGTTCGGTCTGCCCCCGGATGAGATCATGAAGGAGCTGAAGGACCAGGGGATGGCGCCGGGGGTTGGCGCGGACGGCGCACCGATGTTCGCGCCGAGGGGGGCGTACGCGCCGGGAGGGAGCGCGGCGGGAGGCGGCGCGGGGGGCGGAGGCGCGGCGGGCGCCGGCGGCGAGCAACCTGAGTGCGTCGTGATGTAATAAGGTGCGTTCTATACACTGGTTCCCATACGACCGCGTCGGCGTGGTGAACGCCGATCCTTAAGGACTTTTCCCTGCGTCTCTCTCCGCCCACCCCCCGCTTTCAACCCCCGCCCTCGACGCCTTTCAACTTCAACTGACGCCTTTCAACTCCACCCCGACATTCGCTTGTATAGAACGGCCCTAATAAGATACCTCGAAACCGCGCGCGCCGGTCCGGGCTCGACCCCCTCTTCTACGCGTCCCGGTTCCGCCGTCGCTCCGCCTTTCGCGCGTCCTTCTCTCTCTTCGCCGCGGCGAGGCGCGCCTCCCGTCGCCGCCGCGCCCTCGCCAACTCCAGCTCTACCTCTACCGCCCTACCTCCCCCGGCGGCGGCGCCGCCGCCGCCGCCGCCGCCACCCGCGCGCCTGGCCGCGTCCACCTCGCGCCGTTCCCGCATCGCCGCTCGCACGTCCTCCGCGTCGTCCGCGCCCAATCCGACGTCGCAGTCCGCGTCCGCGGCGGCGCGGCCTTCGCGCGCGCCCTGAATGATCCCGGCGCCGTGCGCGGCGACCGTCGCGTCCACGACGAACGTCAGCGCGTCGTTAAGCTCCTCCTCGGACTCGAAGACGGGTTTCGTGATCTGCGCGCCGGATTCGATCTCCGCGTCGCGCGGGCCGTACGCGAGGACCATCGGGAGGTGGTCCGCGTCCAAGTGAAGTAACGCACACGGCGCGACCGTTTCATCACCGTCACGCCCGGCGGCGGCGGCGGCGCGCGCGTGCGTCGCCCGCGCGTCGTCGAGCTCGGCGTCGTCGTCGCAGTGGTGGATCACGACGCGCGCCACCCCCGCGAGTTTCCGCCGCGCCGCGGGTTCGAAGAAGTGCGTTTCCGCGTCGTCGCACACCTCGCACCACGCGCCGCCGCGGTAGAGCACGAACGTCAGCGGGCGGTCCGCGTACGAGAGCTCGCGTCGAAGCGAAAGCGCGTCCAGGGTGGTCGGGAGAGGGAGCGCGCCGTTCGTCGTCGCGGTCGTCGTCCGCGGCGACGACGACGACGACGCGCCTCTCTTCTTCTTCTTCGACGCCCTCGCGCTCGCTCTCCTCGCCGCGGCCGTTCGCTCGCGGCGCGCCTCCTCCTCCGCGTCGTACGCCGCGCGCGCGTCCGCGTCGATCAGCACGTCATGCGCGGCCACGCACCGCTGCCACCCCGTCTCGACCGACGTCGCGTCGTCGTCGCCGCCGTCGTCGTCGTCGTCGTCGTCGTCGCCGTCACGCGCGTTCTTCGTCGATCGCGAAAACTTCCAATTGGCGGATCTCGCTTTGTCTGGTTGGAGCAGCAGCGACTGTCGTCGGAACGCGCGCTTGATCTCGTTCGCGGTCGCGCCGCGACGGACGCCGAGGACGCCGTAGTGGTCCTGCTCCGCCGCGGTCGCGACGCCGAGGAGGAGCGCGAGGAGGAGCGCGAGGGCGAGGAGGCTTCCGCGCATCGGATTCTGGCGAGTGGTGTCTGCTCTCGAGTTTCGACGAATAAACCGCGGCGCTGAAAAACCCGCGATGGTCACAGCGCATGTCGCTCGCGCGAGGCGGCGTCGTCGTCCTCGCCGGCGCGAGCTCGAGGAAGAAGCGCTCCAAGAAGAGCAAACGTCCGCCGGGATCGCCCGCGACGGACTTAAAACCCGCGACGGTGCTGGTGCGTCCGCGCGTAAAGTCGGCACCGCGTTCGTCGTGAAGGATGATTTCCGATTCCGCCCGTCCTCGTCCGCGCGCGTTCTGTTCCGGAGCGCACGTTCTCCGCCGATCCCTCCCCTCCGTCGTCCCCGCTGACGTCCCCGTCCCGCGCCCCATCGCAGGGCGTCGAGGAAGACCACCGGTTCGAGCAGTTCTTCTACGACGACGCGACGACGGAGCGCCTGTTCAAGATCGCGACGAGGTATCAGCGCCCCGCGTTCTTGTGCACGCCGTCGCTCGCGGCGAGAGCGGAGCGCGCGAATCTGGATTACCTGTTGCTCGACCGCGACGCGCGGTGGAAGAGCCGACTCGGCGCGAACAAGTTCAAACAGTTCGAGCTCACGGAGCCGCGGCAGCTGCGGTTCCCGTACGACGTCGTGTTCTGCGACCCGCCGTTCAGCAACGTGGAGATGCGGTCGCTGCGGCGGACGGTCGATCTTCTGGCGGCGACGGACGCGCAGAGGGCGTCGCCGGTGTGGCTGTGTTTCGTGCGCGACCGCGAGGACGAACTCTTGGACGCGTTCGAGGGGTACGACCTGGAGAGGAAGCCGCCGGCGTTGGGGTACATGAGCGTGAAGGAGGAGACGCAGGAGCGGATATTCTTGTACGGGCCGAAAGGGCAGCCGGGACGGTGAACGAGGTGGGCAGGGAGAGACCGAACGCGTCTCGAACGCTCGAAGGTTTAGTTTTTCGTCGTCGAGTCGTACCTAGCTAGACTAGTCACTCCTACGCCTCGCGCGATCGCCACGGGAGCTGATGCGGCTCGCCCGCGCCGGACACCGGCGACGGCAGCGACTCCCTCAGCCTCTCTAACTTCTCGACGCACCCGTCCGCGTCCGCCACCTCGCGCGCGGCGGACTCGTCGAGCGCGAGAAGAAAATCCACGATGGATCGTCTCAACGCGAGCGCCGCCCTCTGACCGCTCTCCGCGCGTTTCGCGTCCCCGTCCCCGTCCCCGTCCCCGCCGCGCGAGGCTTCCAACGCTTCCTTCGCCATCGGCGCGAAAACCTCGCTCAGCATCTCACCCGGGGACACCGCGGGCGAGGTCGACGGCAGCGCGAACGACGTCGACGTCGACGCGTCGTCGTCGTCGCCGCCGCGGGCGCCGCGTCGCTCGAAAACGCGCCGCGCCGCCTCCCCGTACGCGTCGCACGTTATCTTAAACGCCCGTCGCGCTTCCGTTACATCCAAGCTACTGTCCGTCACCATCTCCCGCAACGCGCGCAACGTCAGCGCTTTCGGGCCGTCCGCGGGGAATCCGCCGGACACCTCCGCGCGCGACTGCAAAAACGCCACCACGTCGGACCGCCGCGAGCACGAATCCGTCAACGCCGCGAGGTCGAGCCGCGCGCGCCACGCGCGGCCGCCTCTCGGGTGCATCACGACGTCGTCGCCGTAGAACTTCCACGCGCGGTCGCATCGAAGCTGGCGGTCGACGCCGCCGAGGGGTAACGGCGGCGCGATCGGCTCGAGCGGCGCTTCCGCGGCGTCGACGGGCGCGGATTCGCCGCGAGGGACTTCCCAAGACGCCGGAAGAGAAAACGCGGCGGGCGCGGCGGCGGCGGCGTCGGCGTCGGCGACGCGGCGGCCGACGATGTCGTAGACCGCGCTCACGCCCGCGTCGAGCGCGTGCACGACGAGCGCGTCGTCCACCACGGACACGGCGACGGACGCGGCGTCGGCTCGCGCGCTCTGTCCTTCGTAACGCCCGAGACCGAACGGTTTCAACGAGATCGTCGCCGTCAAAACGAACGCGTCCGCGAAGACCCGGTACACCCGCGCGAGACCCGCGGCCGCGCCCACGACGCACAGGAAAGGCCGCCCGCGCGCGGCGACCAAACGCGCGCATCGCGCGTCGAGAAGACCGCCGTCCGCGTCGCCCTCCTCGAGCGGCAGATCAAACTTCGGGAGCTTCACGACCCCCGCGGACGTGAACCTCGACGCGGCGACGACGACTTTTTTCGAGCCGGCGACGGCGACGACGAGCGTCGACGCGGCGCGCGAATAGACGCACCACGCGACTCTGCCCCCCGGCTTCTTCTTCTCCGAGACCAAGACGAGCCGCGGGCCGAAGTCGAATTCGGATTCGGACTCGCGGTCGCCGCCGCCGTCCGCGACGAGCTTGTGCTGCTCCACGCCGAGCGTGGTGACGACGACGAAGTCCACCCCGGGTACGTTTCGGACCCAAAAAAACGAAACGATCGTCTCGCCCTTCTCCGCGGCGCGCGTCACGACGTGCGTCCGTCCCGGCGGCGCCTCGACGACGTAACTCGCGTCCACGATCCTCGCGGGCGCGATCTCGATCGTCGTCGGGGAGCGCTGGACCGCGACGACGCGCGGGGGGTGAACGCGCGCGGGCGCGTCGTCGTCGTCGTCGTCGTCGTCGTCGTCCGAATCGTTTCCAATTCGCCGCGCGTCGCCGCCGGGCGCGGGCGACAACCGCGCGTCGAGCACCTCCCCGGGCGCGATCGCGATGTCGTACGGCTCCTCCGCGGGAAGCGATTCGGACGATGACGACCGAGAATCGATCGAGCTCGAGCGCGGCGGCGGCAGCGGATGGCACCGCAGCCCGAGGTTGTTTTTCACGAGGACGACGCCGCTCGCGTCGTCGTAAAACGCCGGCGTCGGAGCCGTGGTCTCGTCGTCGTGAGGCGACGCCCACGGCGGCGGCGGCGGCGGCGTGAACGCGACCCCGGGCTCGGCGACGCGGACGTGCGCGCGCGGCGGCATCGTCTCCTTTCTTCGCGCGTCTCCGCAGACCGACGTCCTCCGTCGGGTCTGTTATGCCCGCCCTCCGCTCGTTCGATCGCGCGTCCTGTCGCGTCGTTCAAACGAGTCTTCTAATACCTTTTGCTTCTTCTCGGACTACGGACGGACGCGCGACGGATCTCGCGCCGCCGCGCTTCGCCCAACCACCCCGGGCGCGCTCACGGCTGAAGAAACTTCCGGATGTTCTGAAGCAGCTCCGCCTTGACCGCGTCCGGGACCGTCGCGCGTCCCACGGGCGTGATCTCGCGCGCTAAATCCTCCGTCGTCACGTTCTCGAACCCGCGCGCTTTGACGATCCGCTTGCACTGCTCCTTGAGCTCGTCCCTCCACCCGCACTCGATGAGTCTCTCGCGCAGGAGCTGCTTCAGGCGCTCGCGCTCGCCCGAGCTCACGAGCTTCGCGTTGACGCCCTCTTGGAGCTTCGGGAGCGGTTCCGGCGCGGGCGAGCTCTCGGTCATGTCAAGCGCGCGCGATGTGTGACGCGGTGATGAGCGCGGAGGCCGCGCGTTTGACTTCATCAGTGCATCTGGAGGATATTTTTATTTGTTCAGGAGCAGCACGCGTGTTCATCGTTGATCACAGTCGCGCCGCGCCGCGCCGGGCGTCGTCGCGTCATGAGCGTCGCGACGTCTCCGAGCTGGCGCAGCGCCCTCAGGGTCGTCCTGCGCGCGGTGGACAAGCACGTCACGTCCGCGAGCGGCGCGACGGCGTTCCGCGAGCACGTCCTCGAGCTCTTCCGCGCGGGCGGCGGCGCGGGCGGCGACGGAGGATCCAGGGCCCCGTCGATCCAGCGCGAAGACGTCGTCGCCGCGAAGCTCGTCGCCGCGGAGGAGTACGCCGCGCTCGTGAACGCGGTGCACGCGCACAAAGAGATGCTCTTCGACTACGGGCACTCGCTCGACAAGGAGAGGGAGCAGCTGAGGAAGGCGACGAACACGGCGCGGTACGTGGGGCTCGAGATGCCCGAGATGCGTCCACGAGACGCGTGGGATGATCCGTCAGACGGAGCGAACGCGAACGAGGGGGGGGACGACGAGGAAACGGCCTCGGGGCCGGGGTTAGAAAAAGAGTCGTAGCTAGCCCTCGGTTAAGGTAGCTCTATTAGGATATTATTCACGCGCGCGTTGGCGTTGTTATCATAAACAACTCGACCGGACGCGTCGTCGGTTCGATCGTCGCGGCGTCACCCGCCGCCGGCGAGTTGCGCGAAAAACGCGTCGTCCGTTCGAACCCGCCCGCAATAGTTACACGCGCAGTGCGTCGCCGTCGGGTTCGGCGGCGCGAGCGTCCCGCCGCAGTCTTCCTCCGCGCACATGTTCTTCATGAACCACAGCGCGTACTCCACCGGCGCACGGTCCGCTCTGCGCGTCTGTTCCTCCTCCGTCAGCGCCGCCGCCGTCGCCTCGTCCCTCGCCTCCTCCGCGGCTTCCGACGCGTCCGCCGCCGTCGTCGCGTCGTCGTACGTCTCCGTCGGCTCTTCGTCTCCCGTGCGCTCGCCGTCCTCGAGCGCCCAGCGCACCTCCAACGCGCAGCGAGCGCAATCGCACGCGAACCCGAACCCGCGTCGCAGCCGCGCGCGCCTCGCGCCCACGGGCTCGTTCACGGGGAGGTAGCTCAGGGTCGTTCCATACGAAGCGACGTCGGGGTGGAGTTGAAAGGCGTCAGACTTGGGAGTTGAAAGGCGCCGAGGGCGGGGATTGAACGCGAGGGACCCTGGGCGGAGAGAGACGCCGGGAGAGAAAGTCCTTAAGGATCGGCGTTCACCACGCCAACGCGGTCGTATGGGAACCAGTGTATAGAACGCACCTCATCAAAACCTCGGCGCCGGCGGGGATGACGTCGATCGCGAGCAGACGCAGCGTCGACGGCTCACATAGCGCGCTGAGAGACGACGGCGAGGAAAACGCCTTGGACGGGTCTTGGAAGTCGCCGTCGAAGTTATCGAACCGCGCGACGTTCGGGAAGCATCCGTGGTTAACGCGAGACGCGTCGCGATACAGCGCGCCGCCGCGGACGCTTCTCGCCGCCCCGAAATCGTTTTCGTCGCGTTCGTCCGCCGCCGCCGCCGCCATGACGCCGAACGCGTTCTTGCTCTCCTTCGCGAGCAGCATCGCGTTCTCTCGGATCGTGCCGACGTACATCCTCTCGAAGTCGTCGCTGCTCAGCGACGCGCCGTTCACCTTGAGGACGCCGCGCTCGATGTCCGCGTCGTGCATCGTCGCGAAGAGCAGGGGGTGTAAACGCGTCGCGGCGTCGACGTGCGACGCGATCGGCCATCTCCCTCCGCCGTCGTCGTCCTCGCGCGGGCACAGGCTCGCGACGTCGTCGAACCCGCGGTCGTCTTCGCGCGCCTGCGTCTCCGCGCGCATGGTTTTCATCGCGCGGAGCTCCGCGCACGCGACGAGGAAGCGGAACCGCTCGCGGTCGCCCGTCGAGAGCGCCGCGCTCGCGCCGACCGCCTCGCCGCGGCACTTGACGCGCGTGTGCGCGTTCGGCGCCATCGCGAGTCTCGCGTCGTCCGCGCCGAACGCGAGCTCCGCGGCGCGGTGACAGTCGTCGCACAGGAGAACCTCGCCGCAGCGCTCGCACGCGCGCGTTCGGACGCACCGCGCCGCGCGTCGCAGGCACCCCGCGCACGTCGTCGCGCGATGCGATTCCGAGACGCCGGTCATCGTCGCGCGCTCCTCGAGCACGCACTCCCCGGGTCTGATCTCTCGCGTCGCGACGACGCCCTTTCCGCGTCCGGGGATGTCCGCCAGCGCGATGGGCCACGGCGCGCGCGGCGGCGTCGGCGGCGTCGGCGGCGCGTGCATCGCGCCCGGCGGCGGCGCGCCGCGTTCTGTTCGCGTAGGAGAGTGCAGTTGTTGCTTTTCCGACGACGACCGCGACCTGACAGAAGAAGACTCGTGCTCGCCGGGAGCTGTCACTCTCCCGGGCACGGCATGACGCGCGCGCCGGCGATCGCGGACGCGCGCGCCGCGCGTCTCTCGAGCGGCGCGCGCGCGAGCACGACTCGCGCGCGCGCCGCGGTCGCGACGTCGGCGCCCTCGCGCGGACGCCGCGCGCCGTCTCGCGCGCGTCTCGTCGCGATCGCACCATCCTTTCGGAACCGCGAAGCGGATACGCTGCGATATCGTCGCTTCGCGTCGACTCTCGTCGCGGCGGCGTCGTCGCGCGAAGACGCGGACGCGGACGCGGACGCGGACGACGCGCCCTCTTCATCCTCCGCCGCGACGAACGAGAACGCGAAGAGCGAGACGATCACGCGACTGTGGTCGAACCTCGCGCCGTCGCCGCGCGCGTCCTCCTCCTCCTCCTCCTGCTCCTTCGCCGATCCCGGAGCCGGATCGATCGCGCCGTCGTCGTCGTCGTCGTCCGCCCCCCGCGCGCTCGTGCACGCGCCCGGCTCCGTCGGCGGCGCGATCGCGCTCGTCGCGGGCACCACCGTCGGCGCGGGCATGCTCGCGCTCCCCGCGGTCTGCGAGACCGCCGGCTTCGTCCCGTCCACGACCGCGCTGATCCTGTGCTGGGTGCGTTCTATACAAAAATGAGTGTTTCACCCATCCATCGGTTTCAACACTCGACCGCGTCTCCTTTCAACTGACCGGTGAACTAACTTATTTTTATACGGAACGGCCCTCATCATCAGATCTACATGGTCGCCACCGGCTTGTGCGTGCTCGAGGTCAACCTCGCGACGATGTGCGAGCTCGGCGGCGGCGGCGTCAGCATCGTGTCCATGGCGGACCGCACCCTGGGCGTCGGCGGCGTGCGCTTCGCGTGGGCGTCGTACGTGTTCATACACTACGCGCTGTTGGTAGCGTACGTCGCCAAGGTGGGCGAGCTCGCCGTGGATTTAATCCCGGCGTTTCCGGGCGGCGCGCCGGCGGCGTCGATCGAGTACGTCGCCGCGCTCGGCGGCTTTTTGTTCCTCGCCGAGAGCGACGCGATCGAGCGGTTTAACAACGCGCTCGTGGTGATCGTCCTCGCGCTGTTCTTCCCGCTGCTCGCGCTCGCCGGGAGCGCGGCGGATCCGCGGAATCTGATCGACCGCGGCGACTGGACCGCCGTGCCCGACACGATCCCCGTCATCGCGCTCGCGTTCGTCTTCCACAACGTCATACCGGTGGTGTCGTCGTCGCTGGAAGGGGACAAGTCGAAGATCCGCGTCGCGATCATCGCCGGGACGTTCATCCCGTTCGCGATGTTCGCACTGTGGGACGCCGCGGTGCTGGGAAGCGTCGGCGTCGACGACGTGGAGGCGGCGTTGAGGCAGGGCGTCAAGGCGCCGGACCCGCTGGCGACGCTGCAGGCGTCCTCAGACGCCGCGAAGGCGCTCGTGAGCGGGTTCTCGTTCTTCGCGGTGAGCACGAGTTTTCTAGGGTTCGTGTTGGGCCTCACGGATTTTCTCGCGGACGGGATGAAGACGACGTCGAAAGGCGACGCGAAGCCGTGGGCGGTGGCGTTGTTGCCGCCGACGGCGTTCGCGCTGGCGTACCCCGACATCTTCTTGAGCGCGTTGGACAAGGCGGGGACGTTCGGCGTCTTGACACTGTTCGGGTGCATGCCGCCGCTGATGGCGTGGAGGAACCGCGAGATGCAGCGGAGGGAGTCGCCGCCGGAGGAGTGCGAGCTGCGAGGGGACGCGTTCGCGTGCGTCGTGACGTCGGACGTGTTGGATCCGATCGTGCCGGGCGGGATCGTCGCGTTGGGCGCCTTGGGGACGCTGGCGCTCGCCGTGGTGGTGAACGAGACCGTCGGCGACGCGACGGGGTACCTCGCCGCGAGGGATTTCTGACGGACGCGGACGCGCGTCGCGAGAAGAGAAGGAAGGCCCTCCTACTATTAGCACACGTTAACAACATCATGAGCTACCTCATGCCATACCGCGGCCGCCGCCACCCTACCTCATCAGCTCCGCGGCGAAACGTCCTCCGTCGCCTTCTTCTTTTCCTGCTCCTGCTCCTTCGCCTTCGCCGTCTTCTCTTCCGGTCGATCGCCGAACAGCCACAGCGCGCCCTGCCACGCCTTGAAGAACGCCCCTGATACGTCCACCGTTCCCCGCGCGTCGCTCGCGGGCCGCTCCGACGTCGCCGCGAGGACCTCGTGCATCAGGCGGCTCCCCGTCTGTAGCGCCCACGCGACGGGAATTCTCCGCCGCTCGTACGTCTGAGGGTCGTTCCATACGTAGCGACGTCGGGGTGGAGTTCAAAGGAGTCAGACTTGGGAGTTGAAAGGCGTCGAGGTGTGTCGGGATTGAAAGCGAGGGGTGGGCGGAGAGAAACGCCGGGAAAAGTCCTTAATAAGAAACGGCGTTCACCACGCGAACGCGGTCGTATGGGGACCAGTGTGAATCAGAACGCGCCTGAAGCCGGCGCTCGACGTCCGCGAACGTCATCTCGCAGAGAGCGTCGCCGCCGCCGTCGCCGCCGCCGCCGAGAAGACACCGCGACAGCTCCACGGCGTCGCCAAACGCGGTGGAGATGCCCAAACCCAACGACGGGTACATGCAGTGCGACGCGTCGCCGAGTAGCGTCACGCGGCCTCGCGACCACTTCGCCGCCGCCGGGCGATCGAACAGCGTCGTCTGAACGACCGCGCCCGGTGCCGTGGACGACACCGCGCGCTCGAGCAGCGGCGTCGTGCCGCGGAACAGCGTCTCGAGGTGCGCGAGCCGCTGCTCCGGGGTCTCGAACGCGCGCGCGCGCTCGGAGAAACGCGTCGTGCCAAACATGAGTTGCCCCGCGGGCGGCGCGGCGTCCGCTGCGGCGTCGCCGGCGCTTCCGTCTTCAGCCAAGTCCAAGTTCCCTCTGCCGACGTCCAGGAGCGAGATCCCGCTGCCGTCGCACAGGACGAACCGCAGCTCGTTGAACGCGCCCGCGCCGCCCGCCCCGGGCGGGGGGTTGGGCGACAGCGCGTAGTACACGTTCGCCTCCGGCGCCGACGTCGTCGCGGGCGACGACGTCGCGCTCGCGGCGTCTCTCTCTTCCGATGCGCCGCCGCCGAAGGTCAACTCGCGCACCTTACTGTTCCGTCCGTCCGCGCCCACGACGCACCCGCGGACGCGCACGGGCGGCGGCGCGTCGCCGCCGCTCCTCGGCGGCGCGAACGTCAGCACGACGTCGCCCTCTTCGCCGTCCGCATCCGTCGTCATCGTCATCCCCTCGAGCGCGTGCCCGAGGCGAACGGTGCCGTCTCTCAAGCCGCCTCGCAGCGCGTTCGTGAGTCGCGCCCACGTGATGCCGATCTGCGGCGGGAGGTTCACGCGCTCGGACCAGCCCGCGACGTCGATGCGCACGAGCGTCTCGGACGCGGACGTCGTCGGGGTGAGCTGCTCGATCGCGATGGTGTCGATGGTGGCGCCGGCGTTTATAACCTCCGTGGTCGTCTCCGCGCAGATGGCTCGGAGATTCCTCAGGCCGTGCGGCCATATGAACACGGCGACGCCCGCGGGTCGGATTCGCTCGCGCTGCTCGAAGACGACGACGTCCACGCCCGCGCGCTGGAGCGCGATCGCGGTCGCGAGGCCGCCGGGGCCGGCGCCGACGACGGCGACGTCGCAGGACTCGATGGGCGTCGAGGGCGTCGTCGCGCGGACGGCGACGCCGCGCGTCGCGCGCGCGGTCGCGCGTCCTCGCGCGGTCCGCGTCGACGGCGCGCGCGCCGCCGCCGCGCGGACGCGCGACGCCGACGTCGCCGAGGACGCCATCGCCATCGCGCGGCGGGGAGTGGCGAGGCGAGGCGGACGACATCGTCAGCGTCAGCCGCGGAGTGCCACTTGGCGATTTCGTTTCCTCCAAAGGGCAAAGCGCGCCGCGACGCGTCGGGGTCGCCCTTCGCTCGGCAGCGGACGCGTCGCTCGCGCGTCTCGCGTCGAATAGCTACGACCGCTGCGGTACGATTACACCCGAGACGATCGACTCGGCTACGGCGCGCCAAACCCGCGCCCGCGCGGGGACGCGCGGCGGCGGCGGCGGCGACGGCGGCGACGGCTATAAAAACAACGTTCGGTTTCGGATGGACGGAATGGATCTCTCCCGCGTCCCGGGATGAACGCCGCGTGCAGGAACGCCTCCGTGACTTGCTCGTCGAGGCCGCCTGTCGCGTCGGGGAGGAGGAGGAGGAGGAGAGGGAGGTAAGATTTCGATCTTCGTCAGATCGCGATCGGAGGAAGAGGGAGAGGATCGATCGGACGTCCGGCGCGGGTGCGAGGCGCGCGCGGGGGCG